AAACACTCTACATACATTTTAACATGGAGCATGCTCGATGGGCAAGGTTACAAACCAGTTGATCCACCGCACCTGTCCTGTCAAAGTATTACACAACATTATATTTATTCATTTGAATTGACCCGACGGTTTGAATGATTAAACCAGTTAAACCAGCTAAACCGAAAACCAAAGATCAAAATGGTTTGACCTCCAGGTCGGTTTTTAAAACTTTGGTCGAAGCTATCACTAATAACTTTTCGAGTCCAATTAAAAGCTTACAGTCAAATTATTAATAGTAATTAATTTTCATATTTACATATATCACTCACAATCATACCCATTTTTTTTGTGATCAATCAATTAAGAGACCAAGCATACAGCTCTTAAATGGATCTTGTGGCATACAAAGATCAAAGCATGATGCTGTTTGTTGATCAAAGCATCTTTTGATTTTGCTTTTAAATACTTTCACATTTTCACAGCCATCATACATACAAAATTCCTCACAAGATCAAAGCATCTTTTAATTTTGCTTTTAAAAACTTTTACATTTTCACAATCTAGATTGTTGGTCCTCAACTTTCAAAGTAAATAGTAATATTTTCCAAATTGCCATCCACTTAGGTTTACAAAATGTCCCAGAGGTATGTCTGGGTCTGGCTACTCCCATCCACTTGAGAATAAGTGTGAAAGGCACTCTTTCATAAATGCAGATTTGAAAGAGTAAATAATTTGATTGTAAAGACTAATGCAGTAGCAACAGCTGGCTGTGTTGAAATTAGGTCTCTTTACTTCGGACCCATCAGGTGCTTGCTTTTCCTTTTTCTAAAAAGGTTTGGATATTGATACTGTAGCTAAAAAATTTTTATTGGGTAATGTTAGAAATTGAAATTTTTATGTTGCAAAGCAACTAACTTGATATACTAAACTTTAAAAAAAAAAAGAGTTTTATTGGATTATAATCCTTATACTTGGTGATTGAAGAAATTATTGATATAAATTGTTATATTTTGCTGATTTCTTTTGTGAGGAATGAAGTGTTAGATTAGGACAAAATTGATGTGGTTCAAATTTGTAGGGGTTAAGAGTCCCACGAATGAGGAAGAAGTTTCAAGTATTTCTTCTCCATCTCCTCTGTCTTTCCTTATTCTACCTCTGCAATTTTTTCCTCTTGAAACAAGAATTAAATGCAAGCTTCAAATATGGTTGGTAAACCAACATTTTACTAGTTATATGTTGATGGCTCGATGATGGAGTAGATGGGTTTAAATATTCTTGAACAGTGGTGTCTTCTTATCTTTTCAAAAACAAAAAAGAAAAGTGAGAGCCGGAGGAGAAGAAGTGTTTCTTTTTATTTATTTATTCATTTTATAGTTAATTTATTACTAGTTTTACATATATATATTAAAATTTTTATTAATTAAGATTCAATTTTTAAATAATATTAAACTTATTTAT